GTACGCTATGTGTGAGGACTTGGCAAGGAGCGTTCCGTGGGGCGGAGAGCGAGGTTTCCTCTTCGGGAGGAAATATAAACGCTCTCCTAACAAAGTCGGTCTTCTGGCGGTGTGACCTGGCACAGGGCTGGGGTTGGAATTGGAAATCTCCAGGCCTGGGAATGCACGGCCAGATCGGCCTCTCCGGAGCTGCAGCCGCTCATGGGATAATAAATGGGATAATATCGGAGGGCTTCGGCTCTGCCAAGCCCCTTTTCCTCCATACTTGCTTCCCAAAATGTGCACATCCCCTTATTCCCTGGGCTTTTGCTCAAATTTAAAGCAAAGACTTTCATTGCCTGCATCTTTTGGGAGCAGGAGCTCGCTGGTGCATCCCACCTGAATCTGCTGTGGTGATAACTAAATTGCGAGCATTTAGGGTCCAATTCCCTGCCGTGCTTGGTAAGGGACCCCCAGCAGGTCTTTAATTGCAGCAAAAGTAATTAATAGCAGCCAGCCGCAGCGGAGTATCTGTTAATACATCCCTTTTGCTGAAATCTGCCTCAGTTTAATGTGTTGGTTTTTTTCCTTCTGTTTCCAGGGAAAAGCTTTTGTGAAGGAAAGCTTGAAATGCATCGCAAACGGGGTCACGTCCAAGGTGTTCCTCGCCATCCGGAGGTGCTCCACGTTCCAGAGGATGATCTCGGAGGTGCAGGAGGAGTGCTACAGCAAGCTGGACATGTGCGGCATCGCCAAACGCAACCCCGAGGCCATCACCGAGGTCGTCCAGCTTCCAAATCAGTTCTCAAACCGGTACGTGGGGCTTTCCTCGGCTGAAACGCATCAAATGCACAAATGGGAAAGAAATGAGGGGACCCAAGCTGACTTCTTACAAGTCCTAACGTAGCTTAGCCTCAGTAATGCTCTCTGCCTTTTCAATTCCTTGTTAAGCTTTACCAACATTCTTCTGCTTCTGTCTTTGGTAAATACACTTATAAACATCTCCAGGAGGGAATCATAAGATGAACTGGACGTACATTACTTCAAAACCTGGAGTTCTTTTACTTTGAATGCAATATGATGGCAAAAAGAGCTTTTAAATACCAAACCAGTTTGATTAATACAAATACTGCGCTCTCAGAGCTTCTCAGCCTGGTCTGCCATGATCCAGATCATCTTTCTAGGGATGGTCTGGTGGTGTTAATGGGGTTTTTTAGGGTTGTTTTCACCCCTGTTCCTCCTTGCTAGCAGAGGCTGCCTGCAGGAATGGTCACGCTGCTCGCTGGTGCCTTTATCTGAGCACAGACCTGCCCTGTCCCCATCCTCCAAGGACAAGGGACAGAGGGAGGCTTCAGGGAGCTGCTGCAGTCTGCGCAGTCACGCTGCAAGGGCAGGGATTTCTTCCTCTAAATCCTGGAACAATCAGTGCTGAGTCTTGTGATTGGGATAAAAGGGATCTTTTTGAGCAGTTTGAGTAAATATGCTGTAGAATTTGAGCGCAAACAGACCAAGCTGCAGTTTAACGTGTTGGCTGGCTGGCTGCAGCCAATGCCACGGCTCCTCTGGGCGGCTCTTGGACTTGATCTAGAAGCGTCTTAAACCTGTCCTAGGCTTAACCAGACCCATCCTAGGACAGCTATGCAAGTGATATGTAGATGTCACAACTTTGACCAGCATCAATTTATTATAGAATGCTCTACTGTAGATATTATACCCAGAAAATTATACTTGTGGGATGGTGAAAATTATACTTGAGTGTCTTTCCCCCAGGCAAATTTGGAAGAGCTCTCCCCCGAGGGTTGGGATGAGGAGCAGGCAGCACCGTGACACCCGCGTTTTAGAGGCTGGAAGAGCAGTTTGGGTTAATGGGATGGATTGTAGGGTTAAACAGCCTTTGGTAGGGATGTGGAGGTGACAGGATGATGGGGGACACTGCAGTGATGGTGTTGGACGTGTTGGGGATGTTCCTCTCCAAAGGCCTGAGCCTGAACCAGAGCCGCTGCCTCCCAAAGCGGAGGGAGCTCCTCCCCCCTGGCCGCCAGCGCTGGTGGAAGCCAGAGGATATTGTGGCATGTTGAGTAACAAAAGCAGCAGGATTTCCCAGCTAATCGTTTACACTGAGGTCTCCTAAAGCATCCTGCTTTCCCAGCCCCTGTCCCAACATAGCCACCGAATAAGAATGTGCCACTTGGCCTGGGACGCCGAGAGGAAGTAGTTAAAGGTCATAGCATCTTCCTGTGATTTAATCTCATGGCAGGAGCAGGAGGAGAGGAAAACCTCGCTGCCTTTGCTGGCAGCCGAGCTCCTGAAAGGCCCTGCCGAGCTGTTTGATTGCAGCTCCAGCGATGGAAACCACCGAGCTGTGCTTGTGTGAAGGAGGTGGAGGCAGCGAGCAGAGGATCTGTCCTGTTAGCCTGGGACTGATTTAAGCTGGACACACGGCTCTCACAGACGTATTCATCATCAGCCCCTGCGCACGTGTCAGACCTTAATATTAGCACTGCGGGGTTGTGCTTCTGCTGTGCCAAAGCCTGGTCCCTTTGTACTCCAGAAGCTTTAACCTCACCTGACCTCCCCTGGCCACTCCAAAGGCCAGCGCTGAGACTTCGGAAAGGTTTGGATGTGAACTCGCATTTCCCTCTTCCTTCCCCTCCTCCACCTGCAGGTTATTCTCTTCTCCGCTCCTGTGGAAAAATGTCACGGTGACCTTAAAGGCTTAAAATAAGTTCCCTGATGTCCTTTCGGGCAGAAGTAGCCCAGCAAATATGGAACTGCTCCTCTTTTCCCACCTTTCCCTAGCGAAATGTTATTTGGTATGGTGAGGTCCCTACTTGCAAGCTTGGCTCTCCCTGCCCGAGCCAGCCATGCGTCGGGGCTGTGTTGGTCCTGCATTTGCTGGGGAAGCTGATCACCATCACCATGATTTCCTGGCTCCCTTCTCAAGCAAGGAATGCATAATCAAGGGTGCTGGAAGGCAAAAACTCAGGCACACAACAGGGCAAAGCATATGGTCCTCACCTGGGATTTAGTGATGGTCAGTTTGGAGGTGACAACTGATGGTGTGTCCCCAGAATCTATCCCCAGGGTGTTCATGCATCTGTCAGGCTCTGAGCTTGCTTCTCCCTCTTCTGGTCCCTGTAAAGGCTGTGTCTAGAGAGGAAGGGAGTGGGATGGGAGGGAATGGTGCCACAGGGATGGATGCAGCCATAGGGAGGGTTGTGCTGTGGTTTGTGTGGTCTGCCTGGTGATGGGCAGTATCTCTCTATTAGGAAGATGCAGTTATTTTTCTTCTTAAAGCTCTGAAAACTGGGGTGTTTTAGTGGAGAGCGAAACACACAAATGTTCAGTAACAAAAGCAGCAGGATTTCCCAGCTAATCGTTTACACTGAGGTCTCCTAATGCATCCTGCTTCCCCAGCCCCTGTCCCAACATAGCCACCGAATAAGAATGTGCCACTTGGCCTGGGATGCCAAAAGGAAGTAGTTAAAGGTCATAGCATCTTTCCAAATGAGCCAATTACTACATCGTCTTAGCTCCTTGCTCTTGCCTTCTACCCAAAGGGTAACACCAAAGCCACTTCACAGAATGACAGAATCACAGAATCCCAGACCGTTAGGGATTGGAAAGGACCTCCAAAGCTCATCCAGTCCAATCCCCTGCCGGAGCAGGAACACCCAGATGAGGTTACACAGGAAGGCGTCCAGGCGGGTTTTGAATGTCTGCAGAGAAGGAGACTCCACAACCTCTCTGGGCAGCCTGGGCCAGGGCTCTGTCACCCTCACTGAGAAGAAGTTTCTTCTCCAATTGAAGTGGAACCTCCTGTGTTCCAGTTTGTGTCCGTTACCCCTTGTCCTATCATTGTTTGTCACCGAGAAGAGCCTGGCTCCATCCTCGTGACACTCACCCTTTAAATATTTATAACCATGAATGAGGTCTCCCCTCAGTCTCCTCTTCTGCAAACTAAAGAGCCCCAGCTCCCTCAGCTGCTCCTCATAAGGGAGATGCTCCACTCCCTTGATCATCTTTGTAGCCCTACGCTGGACTCTCTCCAGCAGTTCCTGTCCTTCTTGACCTGAGGGCCCAGAACTGGACACAATATTCCAGATGTGAAGCACACTTGTGCTTACCTTTAGGAGCTGGAGCAGCTGCTCATTGAGGACAAGTACATTAGAGGTTTGATGGTTTGTGGTCCTTCCGTATGTCATGGGCATGGCATTTCCAGGGTATTTGTTAGATGCAGTGAGAATATGTGCACTGTGTTAATGAGTTAATGACTTAAGAGTTAATGATTTAATGATTCTCGTAGTTTTGTCGCTTGGAGTGATCTCTTGGCTTGAGATCAGCTCTTGCCTTGCTGCTTGTTGTCTCGCTGTGAGTAACGGCTGGTGGCTCTGGCGCAGGTATTACAACAAGCTGGTGAGAAGCTTATTGGAGTGCGACGAGGAGACGGTCAGCACCATCAAGGACAGCCTGATGGAGAAGATCGGGCCCAACATGGCCAGCCTCTTCCACCTGCTGCAGGCCGACCACTGCGCCCAGGGCCACCCCCGCGCCGACTTCGCCAGGCGGCGCCTGACGGAGCCGCAGAAGCTCAAACTCTACTTCAGGAACCTGCGAGGTGAGGGGCCCGTCCCGGCCCACGCGAAGCGCAGCTCGGCCGAAAGCGCGTAACGGGGGTGGAAGGGATGCTAAGCGCTACCAAAGCTGAGGTCTCTCCTCTAGAAGAGTTGTGCACCCAACCCAAGTGTACTGTAGCTAGTTTGAATAACAACTAGGAACTGGTTTTAGGTTTAGTCGTTGATATTTTCTATTCCTCTCGAACAAACGTTTTTGTTTTGCATGGATCTGTGTTCAGTGTCTCAGCTTTCCCGCTGTCAAAATGTCTCCATTTCTTTACTTCCCCACAAAAAAAGACCCCCCCCAAAAAAAAAAACAAAACCAATCTTAGTCTTAAATATAACCAGGCAGTAGTCAGGCCTTCAGACACCAAACTCTCGATGTACTGTAGCGCTGCCACCATTGAAGTCTGAAGATTTGGCACCAGCGGCTTATTTTCTCCTGTAGCAAGCTGGGAGGTGACGATAGATGCACTAAAAACTATTGCACATCCTAACGATGTCAGTGGAATTCGTGTTATGAATCTGTGCTGGCCATGGACGAATATGAATGTCATATTCCTGGTCTCTTAGTGTCATGCAACCCTTCCAGGACAGCTCCGTTAACCCCTTGATTTACCAAACTCGTTAGCTGTGGGTGAGGCTCATTGCCAAGACCTGGGACCGCAGTGCAAAATGAGTTAAAATTCCCCCCCCTCAACACGAACCAAATCAGGAAAGGACCATTTTGTACTATGGAAATGATGAAAAGAGGTACCAGTCTATGGTTGAAGCTAGTCAGGAGGTTTCCTAACCTTGCATTGTATTTAAAAGCTAACATCTATGTACTGTATTTAACTGTCTAAAGCTTTAAAGAAATCTAACAGAAACAAACCCTGTCTTAAGACTAGAGTATTAAAGGTCTTGCTCTAACTGTGGTATAAATAGTTTTGAAATCTGTCATGTACTGTACATAAATTCCACGAGAGTCTGCTTAAAAGGAGCAGAATATAATTGCATAAACTTAGTTTTGTAAGTTAGCTATTTCTTTTTTTGCCTGGAAACGGTCTCTCTCTCTCTCTCATATTCAGGAGTTCGCATTTCTACTCTGTGGCCTTTTTCTAGTGGAAGAGAGCAAATGTTTAGGATGGAAATTATAGGCCAGAAATGAGCCTCTCTTCTCAGAGTTAAAATGGAGAGGGGGGGGGAAATAAAGATAAACTATTTAGCCAGCGCTATCTCCACAGAGCCGCTGTGAGATGTGGCTGTACCCAAGGCACGAGTGGTCTGGATGATTGGGGAATTACCCAAAAGCAGCTTTAGGATCTCACAGCTGCCGCAGGGTAACAAAACCTCCTTTGGAAAGCCCGTTTCTGGGGACAGGCAGGAAAAAACCCCAAAATCCGCATTACTGCAGCAGCATTCC